AACTCCTGGGCTCAAGCGAGTCTCCTGCCTCTGCCTCCCAAGTAGCTGGGACCACAGGTGCCCGCCACAATGCCCAGCTAATTTTTGGTTGCAGCTGTCATTGTTGTTTGGCGGGCCGGGCTAGATTTGAACCTACCACCTTGGGTGTATGTGGCTGGCGCTGAGCCACTAATCTCTTTTCCAATGTGTAAACTAAGGGCAGAGTTTATATTACATTGGTTAATATAAGGTCTAACCCAGTCCCTTAAGCACAGAAATGTATAGTAAATATATCTTGAATTGAACTGATAGAGCCACAACTAAAATTCAGTCTCCTGTCTTCTAGTTTCTGGTAAACCCTGTTCCATAACTCTTCCATTAGAGAATATAGTCTATAAACTAAAAATATTTGTTTTTAAAAATCATCTTAACAATACCCTAAAGGGAAAACTTTTCTTTTAAGGACTTCCTCATTCTGCCGAGCTTCCTAACAAGACTATGGCTGATAACAGCAGTGATGAGTATGAAGAAGAAAATAACAAGGTGTGGTATAACCCACAGCTTTTTTTTTAATTATGGTCCTTAAGTTATAACTCACAGCTTCTTGTAGAATTTCTGCTTTGGGTTTTTCGTAGTTAGAGATGACAACAGTTCATCAAGTAAACATGTCTTTTTCTTTTTTTTTTTTGTCAGAGATAGAGTCTCACTCTCTCTCTCCTTGGGTAGAGTGCAATGGTGTCATCGTAGCTCACAACAACCTCAAACACTTGGGCGATCGTCTTTTTTTTTTTTGAGACTCACTTTATGGCCCTCAGTAGAGTGCCATGGTGTCATAGGTCACAGCAGCCTCCAACGCTTGGGGTCAAGTGATCCTTTTGCCTTAGCCTCCTGAGTGGCTGGAACTACAGGTGCCTGCCATCGTGATGTCTGGCTAGTTTTTCTATTTTCAGTAGAGTTGGGGGTCTCAGTTTGCTCAGGCTGGGCTGGAACTGCTGAGTTCAGGTGATCCACCTGCCTTGGCCTTGCAGACTGCTAGGATTACAGATGATGTGAGCCACAGGGCCAGGCCAGTAAACATGTCTTTATTTATTTATTTTTTTGAGACAGAGTATTACTTTGTTGCCCTCGGTTGAGTGCTGTGACATCACAGCTCACAGCATCATCAAACTTTTGGGCTCAAGTAATTCTCTTGCCTCAGCCTCCCCTGGAACTATAGGTGCCCACCACAACCCAGCTATTTTTTTTTTTTTTTTTGAGACAGAGTCTCACTCTGTCACCTTTGGTATAGTTCTGTCTTATCATAGCTCACAGTAAACTCAAACTCTTTGGTCAAGCGATCCTCTTGTCTCAGTTTTTTTATTTTTAGTAGAGATGGGGGTCTCACTCTTACTCAGGCTGATCTCAAACTCCTGAGCTCAAGCAGTCTACCTGCCTTGGCCTCCCAGTGTGCTAGGATTACAGGAGTGAGCCACTGCACCCAGCCTCAGTAAACATGTCTTAAACACTAACTCTAACAGTTAAATATGTTTTAGTTCAAGAATGGAAAAGTAAAAATACAATGTTCTCAATTCTAATATGAAGCTAGTATAGGATCTAATACACACCCACATAAGAGAAAAACTCAAATCAGTTCAAGGTGGGGAGCAGGAGAACCAGGGAGCAGGGGAATGGGAGGAGGGTGGGGGATGGGATGCTCCCACTTAATGGGCACAATGTTAGGGTATATGACACACCTCTTAGGGGCAGGACACAATTATAAGAGGGACTTTATGTAACAAATGCAATCATTATAACCTAGTTCGTTATACTCTGAATTAACCCAAAACAATAAAAAAAAATTTTGTAAATAAATAGGGCGGCGCCTGTGGCTCAGAGGAGTAGAGCACCAGCCCTATATGCCAGAGGTGGTGGGTTCAAACTCAGCCCCAGCCAAAAAAAAAGTAAATAAATAAATATCTTGGAACTCATAGAGGAAAGTCAGTAGCAAAGGACCTTGAGATTTTGATCCTTTTTCGGGAATCAAGCCTACCACACAGCAAACTTTTTGTTGAGGAATTTCATATGATGAAGGCCAGTGTTTCACAAACTTTACTGATCATAAGAATCAAGGGAGGGGACTTACTTTTTAAAATACCAATTCCCACGCCTCACTCACCATCTCGAAGATAAAAGCCTGTGAATTGATATTTTCAGGAAGCAGTGCAGGTAATTCTTATAACAAAGCAAGTTAGGAATATTGGTCTAGGCATTTTTTTCATTGTCAACACTTGTGATACTGCCAATATTTTGTGAAAGAGATTTTAATTTTGAGGCCTTAAGACTCAGATGTCCCTTTGCTGTTATTCTGTGAACCCAGAGAATAACCCTGTTTCTGAAAGAAAGACGGAAAGATACCTGCATCTCTAGCCAGGTAGGACCTTAAGAGTTGTACATGTGCTCTCTTGACAACCATTTGTGTTCAGCCTTACCATGTGATCTGATGGTTACATTTTAATGATCCTTTAAGAACAAGAGCTTTGGAAACTCAGGCAAAGAATGTTTGAAGTCATGTAGAAAGCTGTAGTGATATAGACTGAGTTCATTAAAAAGCCTAAAGGTAACATTTTAAGGTGGGTCCCACTCTGTGACTAGTGCGCTGTTTTAACTTCTTACGTGCAAGTTAACTTCTTAGGTATTTGTGATATATAAATCTTTGGCCTTTATATCAGGGATTTTGCAAAGTACAACTTTGAAGAAGCAGACAAAAGAAAAATAATTTTCCTATTTGCTATTCCTTTTCCCACTTTGCCTCCAGATTTTGTATAGACACCCTAGATTCTTTTAGTCTTCATGTTGCAGTCAGTATTCAAGACTCATTTATTTTTTTAATTTAGTATGCACCCAGAATCAGTGGAAAGGATATATTTTGAATATTCTTTAAATTGACAATCAATGTTCCTTTTTTTTTTTTTTGAGACAGAGTCTCTTTTGCCTCAGCTAGAATGCAGTGGTGTCATCATAGCTCACTGTAGCCTCAAGTTCTTGGGCCCAAGTGATCCTCCTGCCTCAGCTTCCTGAGTAGGTGGGGCTATAGGCATGTGCCACCAAGTGTGGCTGTTTATTTCTATTTTTAATAGAGATAGAGATGGGGTCTTGCTCTTCCTCAGGCTGATCTTGAACTCCTGACCTCAGATGATACTCCTACCTCTGTCTCCCAGAGGGCTAGGATTACAAGTGAAAGCCACTGTGCCTGGCCCAAAAGCAATTTTTGATGTCCTGTAATATGTCACAGTTTTGTATGCCAGTAGCTGATTAACCATAGAGAAGCACTGAGTAATTTTTAAAAACTGGAACCAACATCTCTTAACCTCAATATAAGCCATATGACATATGGAAACCAATCTTTCAAAACTTGATTTTAAAGAGGACCAATTAATCATCCTTCAGATCCTAAGGGTGGGCATGCCAATGCCTCCAGGCCACAGAGGCAAAAACACAGACCTTGTCCTACCTGCCTCTGTAAATTGTAAGCACCACTAGACCCCTTCTGATGGATTTGAGAGGGTAGGATGGTACATAGACAGCCAGAAGCTTGGAAAGATAGGTTGTAAAGCTAAGAAGAAAAGAGCTATGTGTCTTGAGATAGAAGGTACAGTCATTTCATTTGACTTAAAGGGAAAGGGGAGGGAAATATGGGTAAGTCAGATACCCCATGAAGAGAAATAACACTGGACAAAAAATGGAAAATCCATAGTCTCTTGACCTGCTGATCAGAGTTCAGGCACAGGGCTGATTGATTATGAAAGTTCTTTTGGTAGTTTCAAGCAGCTTACTCTGGCAGTCTTGCAAATTAAATACTAGATTTCCTTCCTATGACCTTTGTGAATATTAAGATCCTCAAAAGTTTCTCTTCCCCGCATTTCCTCCCAAAATAATTAGAGTTGCTATATCCTCTTTCTTGAAAGCCCCTAGGTTTTAGGGTTTAAGCTCTCTATAGAAAGCTTATGAAGGATCTCTAAGTAATTGGTACAATAGACATAAATTAGATAGAATTTATAGAGAAATGGAATGTGGTTATAGAAAGTGGGGACCCCGTTTGAAGCTGAGCAGGAGCAGAAGGCTCTCAAACATTTTCTGAAAAGTGCTGCCTTCTCTTTCTGATGATTAGGTGCCTGGTGGGGGGGGCTTTTGATTAGAGCTGTATGGAACTGGGCACAGATACATTAAATTTCTCTTCATGTGAACCTCTCTACGCCTGCCCTGCCCTATCTCAGGAGAAGAAGAAGACCTCACAGTTGACACCTCAGCGGGGCTTCAGTGAAAATGATGATGACGATGACGACGACGACTCATCAGAAACTGATTCTGATGATGACGATGATGATGAAGAACACGGAGCCCCTCTGGAAGGGTGAGGGGAAAGGACACCACGCCAAGGAGGGAAACACTTCCTTCAAAACACTGGACTGGGGGCGGTGCCTGTGGCTCAAAGGAGTAGGGCCCTGGCCCTATATGCCAGAGGTAGTGGGTTCAAACCCAGCCCTGGCCAGAAACTGCAAAAAAAAAAAAAAAAAAAAAAAAATACTGGACTGGGAGGATATCAGCAGCAAAATTGCAGCATTTCTTTTGATTTCTATTTAAGATTTTCAGATGTCTCAGAAACCCAGCATGATGAGTTTTTATTTCTTTAGGGCTCCACTTCTCATCTAGTCCTTTCTCTGACTTGCACTTTCTGAAATACTTGTGGCCTCAGGAATTATGTGAGATTTTACTGAGCAAATCTGAAAGCGGGTCCCTGCTTTCAAGTGGCTCTCTTTCTCAGAAAAAAAATGTTTGCATATATACCAAAGCTTAGACTTAACCTCTGGAAGGATCCATTAGAGCTAGTTATAGTAGTAAAATTACCTTTCAGGGAGGAACTTTGCTGAGAGATAAAACTTTTCACACTGTCTTTCATACCTTTTTTTTTTTTTTTGGTAGTGGTAGAGTCTCACTTTATCGCCCTCGGTAGAATGGCATGGCATCAACAGCTCATGGCAACCTCCAGCTCTTGGGCTTAAGTGAGTCTCCTGCCTCAGCTTCCCAAGTAGCTGGGACTATAGGCACCCACCACAACGCCCAGCTAATTTTTAGAGATGGGGGTCTCACACTGGCTCAGGCTGGTCTCAAACTCCTGAGCTCAAGCATTCTTCCAGCCTCAGCCTCCCAGAGTGCTAGGATTACATGCATGAGCCTCCTTGCTCAGCCCTGCTGCAAATGTTGAATCCTGGACTTTGTCATGCTATCTCATGATCATATCCTATTTCCATAAATTTTAATCTGAAGAAATGTAAATTTAAAGTCATTTTTTATATATATATGTGTGTGTATATATATATATGTGTGTGTGTATATATATATGTGTGTGTGTGTGTATATATATATATAAAAAATTTTTTGTTAAGCAAGTCTCCTTGGAAGAACCTTCTTTTTTTTTTGAGACAAGGTCTTATTCTTTCACCCAGACTGGAGTGCAGTGGCGTAATCAACCTTCCAAAGTACACGGATTATAGGTGTGAGCCCCTGTGCCTGGCCAGAAGAAACTTATTAATAATCTTCTAACTCAATTGTTCATTACATTTTACTGAATAGTAATTAATGTTACATTTTTTTTTTTTTTTTTTACTATATACATGTTCTTGGGGTTTTTTGTTTTTGTTTTTTGAGACAGAGTGTCACTTGGTCACCCTTGGTAAAGTGCTGTGATGTCATAACTCACAGCAGCCTCAAATTCTTGGGCTTAAGCAATTCCCTTGCCTCAGCCTCCTGAGTAGCTGGGACTACAGGCGCCTGCCACAATGCCTGGCTATTTTTTTGTTGCAGTTTGGCCGGGGCCAGGTTTGAACCCACTACCCTTGGTATATGAGGCCGGTGCCCTACTCACTGAGCCAAAGGCACTGCCCTAATTATGATCAATTTTAAAGTTGTCCTGTAAGCTATTAGGAAAGGCAGATGTATAGAGGCTGTACCTGTGGCTCAAAGGAGTAGGGCACTGGCCCCATATACCCAAGGTGGTGGGTTCAAACCTGGCCCTGGCCAAAAAGTGCAAAAAAAAAAAAAAAAGAAAGGCAGATGTGGGAGAGGCAGAAGCTAAGTTTAAAGTCATAGTCCCCTGTGGCAAGAGTAACACGTAGGCTGAATCAGGACTCTACTCTTCTTTGACAGCCCTGAACAAACTGTATTTTCCTTTCCCCAGAGCCTACGATCCTGCAGATTTTGAGCATTTGCCAGTTTCTGCAGAGATTAAGGAACTCTTCCAGTACATCAGTCGGTGAGTGCTAGGACCTCTCACCATACCCCATGCCTACCATGCCCCAAATCTGTCCTACTTGCCTTGCTGGTATAGCAGAGAGCATAGCTGCCTTCTAGACCTTTCTTACCTCTAGTCTTAAACAAGGCCGTTTTACTTAGATTTCTTTCTTAGCTTGAATGGTAAAGTACTTTCCCTGAATGTCTTCACCATCCCTTGGCAATATCTCCTAGGTACACACCTCAGTTGATTGACTTGGACCACAAACTGAAACCCTTCATTCCTGATTTTATCCCAGCCGTTGGAGATATCGATGCATTCCTAAAGGTATATTCAATATATCCGAAAAATGATCCTTAAGTGTTTCTTTCTGAACCTCCTGTTACTATCAGTTCCACTAATTTCTTTGACTAGCATTGGCTACCTCGATACATATTCATTTTATTAGCGTTCTTAACCTTGCTCTCTATTCAGAGTTATACTGATTGCTGTTAAGTGATACTTTAATACTTTATTAAAATTCTTTATTATTTCAGATATTAAAAATTTGTCATGTATTTCCCTTCTAATTATCCATGACTTCAGGTTTATATTTAAACTGCCATAGAGCATATATTTTTTTCTAGGTAGTGTTTAGTACACCATAATAGTAAAGCTAGGAACAATAATGAACCAGAAGAGTTCTTTGTCTGCAGGTTACTGGAAACAGCAGGTGTGGCCTTGTTATACCTTTCCCATTTTCCTTTTGCTTTCTTACCTTTTTCTTAACCAGGTCCCACGTCCTGATGGAAAACCTGACAACCTTGGTCTTTTGGTATTGGATGAACCTTCTACAAAGCAGTCTGACCCTACGGTGCTTTCACTCTGGCTAACAGAGAACTCCAAGCAGCACAATGTCACAGTAAGACGCTAGCCGTGCAGACCCAGCTGGAGGGGGCCAGAGCTGAGGCCTCACTAGCCTTTGTGCAGTGAAGTTACTGCCTGTCAAAGGGGCTGATTGTGGCTTTGGGCCAGCCCTCATTTGTTAGTGACAGTTTTATTGAGATATAATTTACGTACCATAAAATTTGCTCTTTGATTTTTTTTTTTTTTGAGATAGAGTCTTATTTGTTGCCCTCGGTAGAGTGCCCTGGTGTCATCATAGCTCACAGCAATCTCAAACTCTGGGGCTCAAGCAATCCTCTTGCCTCAGCCTCCCGAGTAGCTGGGACTACAGGCACCCACCACAATGCTGGCTATTTTTTAGAGATGAGGTCTCAATTTGCTCGGGCTGGTCTCAAACTCCTGAGCTCAGACAATAATCCACCCACCTCAGTCTCCCAGAGTGCTAGGATTATAGGTGTGAGCCACTATGCCTGGCTAAAATTTGCTCTTTGAAATTAGACAATTCCTTGGTTTTTAGTATATACACAAAGTTGTACACCCACCAACAGTACCTAATTTAGAATAATTATATTAACTCTGAAAGAGACCCCAAACCCATTAGTGGTCACTCCTCACTCCCCCACCTCCTTTACTCCCTGATAACCACTCCATTCCTTTTTCGTGGCTGAATAATACTCCACTGTGTAGATGGATCACTTTTGTTTCTATTCACCGGCTGTTCCCACTTGTATTAATAACGCTTTGTCCAGCACCATAGCTCACACTGGTAATCCTATGTGTTGTGAGAGGCGGAGGCAGGAGAATTTTCTTTGTTTTCTTTTTTGAGACAGTGTCTCGCTTTGTCATCCTCAGTAGAGTTCTGTGGCATCATAGCTCACAGCAGCTTCTAACTCTTGGGCTCAAGTGATCCTCTTACTTCAGTTTCCCAAGTAACTTGGACTATAGGACTATGGGCACCCACCACAATGTCCAGCTAGTTTTAGAGATGGTGTTTCACTCTTTCTCAGGCTGGTCTCAAACTCATGAGCTCATGAGCTCAAGCAGTCCACCTACCTCGGCCTGCCAGATCGGTAGGATTATAGGTATGAGCCACCATGCCCAGCAACATTACAAGAATTTTCTTTTCTTTTTTTTTTTTTTTTT